TGATCTGTCTCTGAAATCACAATAGATATAGCTTTAGTCATTGCTTGATCTTGATCGATAAAGATAGTATCAGACTTCTTCCCAGACATTGCTTGCAGGAATGTCTCAAATAACTACTGAAATGATGCNCCAGACATTGTTTGCAGGAATGTCTCAAATAACTACTGAAATGATGCTGCCATTTTATCATACAATAATAAAGCACCAAATACCACCAACTCCCTGAAATGGTTGAATCCAATCAAAATGTGTAAGTGTCGATATTTCTTTTTCGTTCGGAATGTTGTGTCAAATATGACAACGTTTCCAAAGTGGCCATAATCAATGATCATCTCTGGGTCAGCTCAAAAAATATTTGTTATGCACTCTTCAACATCAAGTTGAACTCCTTAATAAAATGATGGATTCTTATGTACTTCAGCTTGGAAAAATTGCAATAAATTACCCGCTTCATCATATTTCAAGTCTCGTTGCCTCCTTTCTCGAATTTAAATTTTTTGATCTTGATGAGTGAAGCCTAACCTTTCTCTGCCACCCGCTTGGGTACTCAAAAGCTCGTATGATACATATGGTACTTTATCAATCTCGATACATTCCATTTCCATTATATATTAGACCTCTTATAATGAATAAAAATTACACAAATCTATACTACTTTAAAAAGTACATATCTTGGAAAAATTTTTTTTTTTTCTCTTTTACCCTTTTACATTTCTTAATTATCTAAACTAGCATGAATAAATATAATAAAAATGTTGTTCATTATAAAAGTTCATCTATTTATTGAGTAGGTGCAATGGCCTATCATCTCCTCTCTTTTTTCTGCTCAACAGTCATCATCCATTACACATTCAATGAATTCAAATTAATATACTAATTAGAGAACAAGAAAAGAGTTAATTGTTTATCATGATTTCTTACTCTTTTGTATTACAATAACCAAAATGTTATCTTTGTAGTCGTTTATCTATGTCCTCCTCGCCAATTCAACACGTTATACACACATATCTATATCTATACTAATAATAAAATGCAGCTTAAAAAAAATTTCCTAATTTTTTCTCAACTAATATCATAAAGTCAATTTTATGCTTTTAAGTCCAAGTCATTGTTTAATACTATACATTAACCGTGTAACTATTGATATTCTTGTTCTACATATATTCACCAATTAAATTGGCCACATTTGATCATTAATGAATTAATTGCATATCTATCTATCTATATATATACTACTTCTAATGTCACTTGAGATCATAACTTTTGATTACCTAAATTCTCCAGAAAATATNCATTAATGAATTAATTGCATATCTATCTATCTATATATATACTACTTCTAATGTCACTTGAGATCATAACTTTTGATTACCTAAATTCTCCAGAAAATATGAAAAAGACAGCAATTGCCGCTAAGAATACAAATATACAATAGTAAATTTTGTATTAATTTTTTATTAGCCTATTAAAATTTGTGTTTTCGATCTACTTTAATTACTTAATTGAGTTTTCAACCGGCTGGTTTTTAAGTGAGGTAATCCAAAAGATAGTAATCTTAAATTAGTCTTAGGAGTTACATAGTCACTAAGAAAACCTAAGAGTTATAGAACTCTTGGAGTTTCAAAACTACTCTGTGTCCAAACAAATCAAAGCATTGACTATTTGGAATCTCCCATTTTTTTACCACACCTTCTTCCAAGTCATTGTAACCAACTGGTTCATCATCAATTCTCACTGATACGAGTTAAAATCAAACAATTATTTAGTGTGCAAGCTAATCAATGAGGAGACTATTCCAGGCGGCTTGCGGAAGGTCATAGGGCTCTTGTTGCAGCCAAAAGAAATAAACAAGAAGAAGGCGTTAATGGCTATCCATTGGTTTTACCGGCCATCTCCTTTGGGTTACCTCTTATCTCCAATTTCAAAGAGAAGAATGTTCTTTATACACAATGTGTACATATTTTTTGATGGTGTAAATAGCAAAATTGCGCCTACATTGTTCGATGAACTTCTAATGCACATGTCATAACATAAAAGTTTTGTTTTTGTAATTCTTTCTAATGCATATTCTAACTTGATTAATTTAAGAACAAATTAATTTATACAAATTAGCTTTAAACCATGTGTTTCATCGGCATAGAATGTTGGCCTATTTCTTTTCATTCTTAAATTAATTTATTTTTGTGTTTTATTGTTATGCTATTATAGGTACATATGTTTCTCAATTGCTTATGTTTGGGGGCTTGTGATCAGTGGTGTAAGAGCACTAACGAGGAAGATCCTTTCAAAATTTTCGATCTCTCTTTCTTCTTGTTTTTTGGGGGTAAATGTTTTGGTGCCTCTTAGTAAAGAAAGTTGCATTTAGTTCTCAAAAGATATGAGATTTTTTTAGCTTTTTGCGTAAGAAGGGAGTGAAAGACGACGTCGATATTGGTGAAAGCCCATTGCTCTTTGGCCGAAGTCGTTGGACTTAGTTGCTGGGTTCTTTGTTTTTGAGTGGAACGACACCGTTCCACTTAACCAACAAAATTTGCTATTTAATTGCCAACTGCAGAAGAGCCCCGCTTGTCGAAAGTAGATGAGAGAGAGAGAGGGGCGTGAAATTGGGGAAGATTTGAGGGACATGAGATTAGAGAAGTGATGTTAATTTGTGAAGCATAAGGAAGATGGTTTGAGGGCAAAAATAAAATTCGGGTGTGAATCTGATTTGTTGGATTAAAATTCGGGATTGATCTAAACTGCGAAAAATCTAGGATTTGAATTTCCTAATTCTTATTATATAGATAATATTTATACTGATGTCTATGGTTTCAAAATACATTACTCAAACCTAGCCAAGCCTCGTATCCGCAACCTTGGTGGAATTGATTAATTTGGAACCACTACACAAAAAAATTTTCTCGAAATTAAATTTTTAAAATTTTGTCTCAAAATCAAAATCTATTTAAACAATATTTTTCAAAAACTAATTTTATGATAACCTAACACACACAAACACACACAAACATACACACTCTCTCTGTCTCTTTCTCTCAATGTTGACTTGGGAACCTACATCCTAATTGGGCCCCCTTGCAAACATGCTACCTCTCTAAATGTTGACTTGTGGAACCTACATCCTAATAAGACCCCCTTGCAAACATGCTATCCTCTCTCAATGTTGACTTGTGGAACCTACATCCTAAGGCCCCCTTCCAAACATGCTATCCTTTTCAGATTGAACATCTCCTTATCTTTAGCTTTCTTCATTTTGCTAAGATTGGTCTGTGACGGGGTCAAGTCAGTTTTAAGCTACAACTAACCTATGTTTACTCAAGTTTTTAAGCTTGACGTTGAGTTCGGGCTATGTTTAAGCCATGCCTACTTCAGCTTAAAATAAGCCCAAAGCCCTTTTTTCTAATCCAACCGGTTTACAATCCCCATAAATAAATAAAAGGATAAATTGTAAGGGGTACACCAAATTAGACTTATTTGACAAAAAATACACACTAAAAAATGTAGGGTTATTAAGTCCTTAATTTTGATACTTATTTGTATCTAAGTACACAATTTGAATTTGCCTAATTTTTTTGTGACATTTTTGTCCTTTATTGATACATGCGTATGTTCTTTGGAAAATAGTGCATTAAATATTTCATAGTTTTATAGGAGAACTTTAATATTTAATGCATCTTGATTCATGTGTATTTGTTAATATAAACAAATACTTATATACATATTTGTATTTATATGTATACAAGTATGTATATATGTATAAATATAAATATATATATATACACGTGTAAAGTATAACATTAAAAGTGTAAAGTGTAATATTTTTAAAAGTGTAAAGTGTAACATTTTTAAAAGTATAAAGTGTAAAATATTATTTTATGTCTCACCTTTTTTAATAGAAAATATAAAGTGTTATAGGGTAATATTGAGAGTAACAATAACAATGTAACAAGCTATTTACACAAGGTAACGAAAAACATTACTTAAAGTGTTCTACAAACAGAATAAACATGTCTCATCTTATACTAAAAATGCTAATTAATTGAGAAAGTGTTATACTTTCAATGTTAACATGTAACATTTTATACTTTCCATTAAGTAAGGTGAGACATAAGGTAATACTTTACATTTTACACTTTCAATGTTACGTATATCAGTATGTATATACGTATATACATATATACATAAATACGTACATATATATTTATATTTATATGTATATATATAGTTGTATACATATATATACACACACACACACACACACACACACACATATATATATATATATTTTAACAAATACACATGAATTAATGTGTATTAAATATTAAAGTTCTCCCATAAAACTAGGATATATTTAATGTGCCACTTTCCCTAAAATGGACATTTATGTTTTTGTATCTAACTAGTGTACCTTTTTTCAAAATATTTTTTAATATATACTTTTTGCCAAATAAGTCTAATTAGGTGTACCGACTTCCAAAAATCCCTAAATAAAATCACTTAATCCACCACTTTCTGGTCTGTTTGGACAATTGCAACACCCTCGAAATTTAAGCCAATTCTTATTATAATTTTGAGTTTGAGAGAGTTGAAATTTGAAGATCGAATGATGATCAATTAAATGGAATGTATGATGACAATTATGTCTTGGATTACTAGAAAAGGTTGGAGACTAAATTCAAAATTCATATAAACTTCAAGGCTGAAAAATATAATTAACCAATAGAATAGATAATAATTAGTGTCGTCCTAAGAATTGTATAACTAGCTCTCTAGTGAAGAGCGATCGTGTTGCTTCTATCATTCTTTTTTTTTTGAGAGATACTTTAATTCTCCCTTAAAAGCATTAGAAGCAATCACTCCATAATAGATTTCCGTTTCATTTTTTTTTTTTTTTGGTTGAAATTCGATTATTTTGGTTTTGTAGTCCAGGGCTTCTGAAAAATTTGATTGTGGGTTGAGCCAGTTGATTTGATGAAATTCAAGTTGACTAAGATCCAAAGCCCATGTTTTCATGGGCCATACCCGATAAAAGAGTTTGGGAACTGGGACGAAGCTCTACCTATGATCTGGTTGAACTTGGGCTTGGTATAGGCCCTTTGTTCTTTAAGCTTTGTCCTTAAGAGGTATCAAGGTTAAATTTAGAGGTGACAATCGAGTCGTGTTTTGTTGAATTATTGCGGGTTTGTGTCGAATATTAGTTAAACCTAATCCAACCCATTTAATTAATTGTGTAGTGTTGAATTGACTTGTTTATTTTCGTGTCATATTTATGTTCATATTTGTGTTGACCCACATAAATTTTGAATAAAAAATTTAATGCTAAAATTTTATTTTCACTTAATTGAATCCATGCTTGTTCTTTTTCTACAAACTAAAAATTAACTTAATAAACATAATAGTAATAATAATGAGTAAAAATATTTTTTTATAAGATAATTATATTAGTACTTAATAAACAGTTACAAATAATTAATATTTTATTTCTATATTACTAGTTAAGCATATTGATCACGATAATTTCGTGTTACTATACAAATGAGAAAATAGAGAAAGTGTCAATTTTAAATAAACGGATTGATCGTGTCAATTTTGGGTTTGATGGGTTGAACCCGAACATGATCCGTTTATATTTTGTATTCGCTTGTCAGGTAATTTTCGAGTTCGTGTCATAAAGTTTGTGTAGAGTTTGAGTCGTGTCGTCGGGTTGAGTCGAAAATTCTACCTCTAGTTAAATTTATTCCTTCTCACATTATAGGTGTTAATTGAAACAAGCTATTTGGGCTTGGCTCGGGTTTAGAGAGGACTTGGCTTGGGCTCAGATAGAGTTTGACTTATGTTCTAAATGAACTAAACTTGAACAATTTTTTAGATTCGTTTTTAAACAACAAGCTTAAAAGGTTTGGCTAGAGTTTCTAAAGTTTAACTCGTTTATATGTAAAATAGTCTAACTCCTCAGGCTTGAGTTCGGTTTAGGCTTAGACTCGGATTCAGCTCATTTTCTAAATAAGTTAAATTTGAACAATTTTTTAAGCTCATTTTAAAAAATAAGCCCGACAAACTCGAATTCAAATTGACAAAACTCAGCTCGACTAATACCTCCAGGGGCTGTTTGTTTCGAGTATAAGATTTATGTGGTATAAGATTTTATATCTATTTCACTCCGATTCAATAGTATATTATACCCGATCTTAAACTATAATCTCATCCTTCCCCTTGTTTGTTTGTCACAAACATTATCTGTATAATACCTACTTAAAAAAATCAACAATTGCGACTAACCAATGTAAAAAGACAATTTTAACCTTAAAAAGTCAAAAATTGCAACTAGGCTTTTATATGGGCATTGTACCTGAGGGCATTTTGGTCTTTTTAGTTTATTACACCTCCATTCATTTATACCAAAAATATTATACCATCGAGTAGATGGTATTGAATAGCACCGTGTAGAAGGCATTAGTGTTACTGTTCACACCCGGTTGATACTATGACCCAAAAATTAGTACCTAGTAAAAAAATGCCAAACAACAAGAATTAAGGTAGATCCCATGTACTATCTTTCTTATACTACTCCATTATACCACTCTTATACCTCAAACAAACAATCCCCTAGTTCTCAGATAGGGCATAAGGACTTGGCCATTTGCATTGTTTTACAATGGTAAGTAGCAAGCCACTTTTTTAAAAGAAGTACTCAGAACACAAGAATAACGGTTATGGCAAGGGTTAAGAGAGCTAAGTGGTGCAAAAAATAAGATCTTTTGCCAACTATTTTTTTGTTGAGCGTGTCATTGTATTACACAAATATCAAAAAGAATCTTGAAAGTCTTATATTCAATTAGGTATGCATTATTTATGGTAGGGGTAAAATGACTTTTATGACTTTTTTTTTAGCATATGCACTTCTATCCCAATTATTTTGAAAAGGAGCAATGTTATTGAGACATAATTTATGGATATAATTTGAGGACAAAATGAGTTATCACCAATAATATGATAATAAATTCATTAATGTTATAATGGGACCCATCATTAAATGTATTTCACTATTATTTCATTGGTGACAACTCATCATTATGTCTCCAAATTATGCCCCAATAGTATTAGTGTTTTGAAAGTGTACTTTTATTCTATTAAATTTTTTGGGAGGTACCGACCTCCCTAAACCCCAATAAAAATATCCGAGGGTCCATATATCCCAGTTTTGAGTTGTTCAAATAAAGAGTAATGTGACCTAATTTGGAGCTTAAATGACATGGTAGTTGATTATTTGAAGTTGGGTAAATTGTAAGGGGTACACCAAATTAGACTTATTTGGCAAAAAGTACACACTTAAAAATGTAGAGTTATTAAGTACTTAATTTTGATACTTATTTGTATCCAAGTACATAATTTGAATTTATCTATTTTTATTGTGACATTTTTGTCTTCCATTAATCCATGTGTATTTAATGCACCACTTTTCTTTGAAAAATGGTGCATTAAACATCTTCTAGTTTTATAGGAAAACATTAATATATATATATATACACACTTATGTATGTATGGATATACTTATTGTTAAATTTCTTATCTAAATTTTGAATTATCTTTTAATGCACTTTGATTCATGCATTTTTTTTTTCAAAAAATGATTTTATTTTCAAATTAATTTAATATCCGAATAGTGTAATAGTGTAACAATGATAGTATAAGTGTGTAACAATATAACGTGTAATAGTGTAACAATAACAGTATAACAATAAAAGTGTAACAGTGTAACAATAAAAGTGTAACAGTGTTACAATAAAAGTGTAGTAGTATAACAATAATAGTGTAACAAACTATTTACATAAAATATTGTACTATTACATTTTGTCAAACATATAGTTTCATATAATTTTATTCAAAATAGTCCATCTCCGTTTTGAATTTGTTACTATATATACAAAACTACTGAACACTGTTTTTGTTAGAGTGTATTTGTGACACTGTTATTATTACACTGTTATTGTTACACTATTACATTATTCGGATATTAAATTAATTTGAAAATAAAACTATTTTCTAAAAAAAAAATGTTTGAATCAAGATACATTAAATATAATTTGAAAACAAAATCACTTTTCAAAAAAAAAAAAAACGCATGAATCAAGGTGCATTAAAGATAATTCAAAATTTAAATATGAGATTTAACAACAAATATATATATATGTGTGTGTGTGTGTATAAATAAGTATATATATTCGTATATACGTGTATATAAATAAGTATACACGTATATATATATACACACACACACACATACACATGAATCAAAGGTGCATTAAATACGTATTTATATGTATTAATAAACACACATGAATCAAGATGCATTAGAAATAAGAGATTTTGAATTAAATGACTCTAAAATGGACATTTATGTTTTTTTAACTCACATTTTGTTTTATGTACTTTTTATCAAATAAGTTTAATTAGGTGTACCGGTTTTCAAAGAACCCTTTGAAGTTTTTATTGGGGCTCAAATGACATGACACCAATCAAAGAAGCTCAAGTCAATTGTCATGTCATTTGAGCTCCAAATTTGGTCCCAAAATTTGATCAATCTAGCATTACTGTCAAATAAAATTAGATTTTCATTGGGTTGAATTACTCGGCCTGTAGTCAATTAAGCCCCAAATCCTATCTGATCCGGATACACGAAATCCAACTGGACTTTGGGATTTCTAAGCCCACCAGCTGGATAAAGCACCAAATTATGTTATTACCCTTTAAACAGTAAATCACGAATGTTTGTTTATTCCCTCTTCCTCCATGGGCCACCACTGCCACACTTTCTCTTTCTCACTCATCTTTCTCTCTCTAGAAACATATTCAAAGAAAGAAGGGAGAGTTGAGAGAGAAAGAACCATAAACACCAACAATGGCTTTAGCAAACACCTAAGCTTTGCAACTTCCAGAGTACCCAGATGAAGCTGAGCTTGAATCTGAGCTTAAGACCATTGAGGCCTTCCCTTCAATCGTTTTCGTAGGTGAGGCGAGGAGTATGGAGGAAAAGCTTGTTGATACGGTGTTGGGGAATGCTTTTCTGTTGCAAGGAGGGGATTGTGCCGAGAGTTTCAAGGAGTTCAGTGCTAATAATATTCGTGACACTTTCAGAATTATTCTTCAGATGAGCGTTGTTCTCATGTTTTGTGGACAAATGCCTATTATTAAGGTAATCAATCTTACACCTTTATATGGATCTCTATAAAAATTTTTTCCTTAATTATGAGAAGATAAATCCAGATGGAATGAATTTAAGTTGTGGGTGTTAATTAATTTTTATGGGTTTCCAAAAATGTTGGCCTGTTTCATTGATGTTGAATTAATGGGTTCTTATATTTATAGTTTTTCTATACATTTCTTTCTGTCGGCATTATGGATTGAGATCAAAAGTAAATAAAAATTTTGCAGAATTAATTTTGGTCCATCACAAGGGTTTTCAAGAATATTATTGGTTATATGAAAATTGGGAACTTGAGAATTGTGATTTTGAATTGTGGGCTTGATTAATTTAGTTGGGAAGAATGGCGGATTAGTTTGCTAAGTCGAGATCAGATCCATTGGAGGAGAAGAATGGAGTGAAGCTGCCAAGTTACAAGGGAGACAATATCAATGGTGATGCTTTTAATGAGAAATCGAGAATTCCTAACCCTCAAAGGATGATAAGGGCTTATTGCCAAGCTGTGGAAACTCTGAACCTTCTTAGAGTCTTTGCAACTGGAGGTTATGCTACAATGCAGAGGGTCACACAGTGGAATCTTAATTTTGTGAAGCACAGTGAGCAGGGAGATAGGTTTGTTGTATAAGAAAAAAGGATAGGATTCAAGGGTAAAATGGTAAAAGTAATGTCAAAGTATTTGATGTTTAATAAAAAAATTGTAGTTTGTCTATATCCCAACTCCATCGTAATGCACTATCAAAAACAGAGATTGGATAACACAATTTTCTTTTATCCCTTTACAAATCCGGCTCATTGAGATTTCACTGGACTGGTTTGGAATTTAAATTCAAACTAGTTTAGTCCAGTCCATCAACGAATTGCCAAACACACCCTATGGGTTAAGCCACGGACTTCTTGTTCAAAGGCTTTCGCTTGTAGTTCCATCTATACTGAATTTGCTTGGTTCACCGATTGTGCTTCGTCGCGTTGAACTTATTTGTTTTCGTTCAATGGCTCAACAAATTAAATGACTTATGTGATGTTGATCTAAGGTTCTCAAGCTAGTCATCTATGAGACATAGGGCTTATGAGAGCAAAACTCTTGTATGCCATCCAAAGACAGGAATTAATTTGAGTTTACAAGATTAAAAAGAAAATAATTTGGGACGCACACCTCCCCAATTCTAGACAAAACAGTGACAGCTACATATCTAACACACTAAATCAAATGGTGAGTATTACTATGACGTTCCTGCTAATCATATTACAGTATATGTATAAGAAAGCACAACGGGTCTATACATACATAAACACATACACACATCACCTACCTGTAACTTTAGCCATTTTGCACCAATGACTAAAAACAATAAAACTGGAGAACTTTGTAAAATTGCTATCATCGCCAATTGTCAAATTGGGCTTGATGGGTCAATTCTTTTCTTCCCCAAATGACTAAGTTTAAAGAACTTCCAAGACCCTGAATCCCAATTCTAATAGCAAAACAGACCACAAAAAAAAAAAAAAAAAAAAAAAAAAAAAAAAAAAAGTATTTAAA